TCTTAAGAATAATTCATTTTCCGGTTATCCCAACTTTATCGCAAGTATGGCGACTTAATACCCGATTGAACCGTGAATCATTATACACAAACTTACACATACAGAATGTTTTAAATGATTGATGTACTACGATGTTTAATCTTTATGAATCACATCTATCATTGAGCCGATTCATGAGTCAGATTTAATATTTTGTTTGTTGTTTTCAGAAAATCAACGAATTCTCAAACATGTACTACTATTTGAAAAATATGTCCGATAATGACAAAGAGGATGGGCAAGAAGATGAAAAACAAGAAGAATTAAGAATTGTAGAGAATTGTGATACAGTCGACTCTCCACGCCACGAGGAAACTAAGGCCTTGGAAGAACAATCATCAGATCCTTTCAGTGAAGCTTGCACTCAAAACTTAGAAGAGAACGAAGTGAAACCAGGGACGTCAGAAGAAACTGGAAAAAAGCACAGGCCAAATTTAAAACTACCAAATGTAAAAGAACAATTTTACCAAAACGACTTTGTTCCACACGACGACACAGCGGGAAGGATTCAGCAAGCCATCGAACACGATTACTTAGTGCAACCATCAAATATAAAAGTGGAGGACAGTCCTAAATTCCGACCAAATAATTTGTACGCGAATAGTTCCCGCTTATTGCCTCAGCAATCAGAAATATTCTTGTACTCACCCACCGAAGAAAGTAATAAAACTTTCAACATCGAAACCCCAACGAGTGATATTAGCCAAATCAACCTAAATACCAAAGATGTACGTAACAGCGGCAGCATGAAGTCTAGCAAGGAATGCTGCCCTTTAACAGGACAAGAGGAGTTAGCAGAAATTATTAACGACTTCAAAAATAACGTTTTTACCATATCGGAAGTGGAGAAACTTGTAATGGAATGGAGAAATAGAAACGAAACTCAACAGTCGCTTAAAGAGAAACAAGAGCAATTAAATAAAATGCGTGAAGAGTATGACAAAATTCAACAAAAGATAAAAGAAAAATTAAAAAGGCCAACACCATTCGACCGAGTAAAGAAAATGTTTTCGAAGAGCAAAAATAAAAGTAAGTTTCTTTTTAAACCATATTTTAAGCAGAGAGAAATATTATTTTGCTATCAAATTATAGGACAACATATTTTATTTTTCATTTCATAAGTAAAATTCATCTTCCAGATCATGACAGCAATACGGGCACAATCGAGAAAAGGAACGGAAGCACGAGGCCTAACAGTAGCTTAAGCGACAGTAAGTAGTATGACCAATACATTAAATAAATAGATTGTTCATGGAAATGTACTTTACTGCGTTTCATAAAGTAACTTTTGACTTTTGGCTTATCATTTAATTTAAATAATTGCAATACTTTCAGGTTCATCATCGTCAGGTCGTCTCAGCACAGTGAGCGGTGGCAGTGCTGCAGACACCACCAGTGTGCAGTCCGAGCACGACGCACACGCCAGGTCTATTGTAAGTCATCCTTTAACCTTTATATGAATATGAGGAATGAGAAAATATAGTAGAATTCATTGTGGCATGGAACGTGGTGATGATTTGTTTTATTCTGATAAGATATCCTCGAGTACGAGCACACTGACGATGCACACAGCGTGCGATGACAGCCGGCTGGACGACTACCTAATCCCGCCGCCTCCGCGTCCGCTCAACGGCGCGCCGCAGTTCACCACCTTTGGACATCCCAAACATGACAACAGGTCAATATTACTGCTTATATACCCAAACTTTTTAGTAGAAACAGTTGATTTATGTGTAGAAACTCAGCAGGTCTTGCGAAATTTGCTGTGAGCGCTATGCACATTTAAGTTATTGGCTTATTTCTTCTAGGGGTCAACACATGGCTACGATAGTAGAACGCGAGACATCTGCTTCACGTGAAAGACTAGACGAGAGTGAGTCGGGCGGCACGCACCTGCGGCTAAAGTTCCGCGCACGCGACGAACGCGACCCTGCGCATATGTACATGAACATATCAGCCACGCACACATAGACACACGCACTCTGCGTTATGTTGACCCTTACATTCTCTTTGAAATAACAGAGACATATGTCAATCGGTCCAATAGGATTTTTATCCATTGACTCGATTAGCCCAATGAAAACATCCATTAGAGCGTGCGCACGCCTTTGATTAAACTTTCGCTCAACTGTTTAGTCGCGCTTTGTTTCCTATGAGCTTATAAGGAGGTGGGGACACTACTCGATTTTTAGTTGTGCAACTAAACAGTTGAATTGACTGCGAAACGCGATAATTTAGTCAAAATTGTGTCCGCTCTTTTTGTATTTTTAATGTCAGAGATTTTTTCATTTTATTGCAGCTCTAGCATTTATTGTATCAATCATTGCATTAGAAAAATAAAGACTGAAAAACATATACTCCGATTCAACTTTATATTGTAAATATTTTGTAAATACGTAATAATGTAACTGATATTAGATTTAAAGTTCATAGAGGTCTTATTTATTGTCATAATATCTTTAGAAATGATATTAAAAGGTATGGCGCCTTAGTCGATATTGTAAAATAAACGTTTGTAAAATTTGAAGCAGAAAGAAAAAACATTGTTTTTCAAATATTTTATTTAGCACTTTTATATTTAACTTTCCCAAAATGCATTTATACCTGCCTAAATCATGAATAAATTTTGTTAAGTAAAAAAAATTTTTCTTATAACAAACCTTTTCCCTACATGGATTTTAAACTAATTAAATTTCAAGCCGATTGTTAACAATAATTTGCATTTTTTCATTAAATAATAATTGTCACCTAAATTAAACTAAAAAATACTGACAATTCAATGGAAATAATAACAATAGTCTCTTTTAAATTGACTTTTGTACATTTCCAAATACTTTAGCGGCAATTTATGTATAAAATATTTTAACACATTAATCAAAGTAATATAAAAAGATCACCGACTTCGTTGAATTATTAGTAATTATTTTATTTGGACGTAAAAAAGTAAAAGACGTCTCAATATAAAATTACGCGTTTTTGTAACATACATTAGCACAAAATATCACATCTTTTGTCTTTTATAACAGTAATTTCATTAAAATATTTAGCACACGTCGAAGTAGTCGATCTTAAATATATTGTACGTATTTTGACATAAAAATGTTCAAAATTAAAAAAAAAATGCTTTAAAACAATTAAAATAATGGTAACTCAAGTCAGGCTCAAGTGTATCAAATGAAATTATGTATTGGCAAAGATATATTTTTAGAAAATGTAACACTAATTGTGTTATGTATGAAAAACTATACAAAAAATAAACTTTTTATTTAAAACGCAATTAATATAGAGAGCTCATGCTGGAATAATAACAAAAAAATTCTATCTGTCGACTGAACTTTGTAGAGCTTTACACTTGAGCCTTAATTTGTTAGCAAATCTCACATCTAAAAATAAATACAAAACAATACATTAAAATATTAGTATACATAAAATTTTCTAATAATCATTATTGCAAATACAACTGGTTTCAGATATCGCACGAAATTCACGCGCACATGTAAAATTTTATAACGTTAAAATACTGAAGAAGTAATCATGTATACGGATTTCGCTCAAATAGTTGTCCGTTGTCAAGATTATAGCCTGACCAGAAATAAAAACCCTCACCACATCGCGAAAAAATAAAAGTAATTCCATTGCGTATAATAAAATAATAGACGATTGGAACAAACAAGGATTTTTCATTCTTGGTTAGACTATAAGTGACAACTACGACAATGTTCTATCGTCCATCGATTACGTTACAGTTGCCTCTAGACAAAATGACTTTCCATTAACGATATCACGAACAGAATCGACAAAATGTGTAAAAACACATAGGAATAAATGACACAATCACGTGACTTATTGAATGTAATAGGGAATATGCATGTATTTTTTTTCTTTTCTTAAACGATACTTGTTATAAAATAATCAGAAAAAAAAATTGACGCGAAAATATTCAACCATTTTTTTTTTTGGAATTAGAAAAAAGTCCCTTTTTAATGATTAAATTTTACCACTAAATCACATTATATTAAAAAAAATCTTTGCAGGAATGTTTTTTATAGTAATAAAGTAAAATTAAAAAAAAGTTTGGTGCAATTTGGCGTCATATGCATATTGCCTATTGTCTGTTCTATATATTTTTGACTTTTCGTTCAGCGATAGCGATAATCGAATGTTACTTTGTCTAAGGGCAGACTTATAACTCGTGTTATAACACGTTAAATACAATCCTGACAACCAAATCTACTGAGTAGATCGCCTAAGACTAGATACACCAGTTTTTTTGTAAATATATGTAAATACATATTCATAAATACAGTAGAACCTCGATAAGTTAAAGTCCAAGGGCTCTGAAGAGAAGGGAACAAAAAAAATTTTGAGGTTATAGAGGTTCCTAAGTTACCGAGGTTTCAGTTATCGAGGTATATATTTATAAATATATATATATACAGTCAATAAGTAATATATATTATAAATGATTAAGTTTGGTATGCAGCTGTCCGTTGTGGTTGTGCGGTTGCGGTTGCGGTTGCGGCAGCGAAGTGATA